GCTTCTTTCTTTTAGGATGGAAGGTACTACAATTACAGTCCGTGAGCAAGTTGGGGGGGCAATGGGGGGATAAGGACACATATGTACATCTTAATCAATAAAGAAAAGAAAAGAATAGGTAGTCACAAATGGAACTATGTCCTCCATAATGTCAGCACTCCCTGCCTTGAGTTACTAAGTGCATATGTTTCACTGGCTTTTCAAGAGCCTCTTTTACAACCCCAAACACTATGATTGATTCACAAGCCTTTCCACATTAAATTATTGGACATATCACTGTAACTTATATATGATTTTTTTTAAACCAACTGCATAAAGAAAAAAGAGAGAGAGAGAGATAAGGACATCAAGGGCTGAATTTGTTCCGACTTCTTGGAACTAGTTATCTCTTAGAAATAGCTATCTTTCCGCAGAAGAATGGGACATGGCTTTTAAAGAATTTATCTGAATTTACTGTAACAAAGAACAGAAATGTATTTTTAAGTTGATTGTTTTTGATACATTTTAAATTATTATTCACTGTTCATTCTGCTAAGTAATGCTAAGGGCACTCTTCTACTAAGAGCACTCACATAAAAAAGAGTTTGTGTTCCATTTGTGTATTGCTTGTAAAACCACACTGTCTACCCAGGATGATATTAAAAATATGTATCAAACAGTGTGACATATGCACTAACCTATCAGAATGGACTCCGACTATGCTTGCCTACAGTGAGGGGTAGGAGTTGAATGTCATCCCTGAATGTCCATGAGAAACCAGAGAAACGGGAGCATATAGGTTCCTCCGAAAAGTAAAAATAGAACTACCAAATGATCATCAATCCCACTCCTGGTTATATATCCAAAAGAAGTAAAATCATTATTTCTAAGAGGTATATGCACCCCCATGTTTATATGAATGAAGAAAATGTGACACATATTACATATAATATGCACAATGGAATATCACTCAGCCACGTGAAAGAAGGAACTCCTGCCATGTGAAGTGGCATGGACATGGATGGACCTTGAGGGGATTATGCTAAGTGAAATAAGTCAGACACTTACATGTGGAAATGCGGATTCTAAAAAAAAAAAAAAAAGCCAAGCTCATGGTTGCCAGGAGCTAGGGAATAGAGGAGATTGGGAGATGTTGGTTGGTTAAAGGCTATAAACATTGAATTATAAGATGGATATATTCTGGGAATCTAAGGTACAGTGTGGTGACTATAGTTAACAATACTGTATTATTTACTTGAAAGTTGCTAAGAGAGTAGATCTTAAATGTTCTCACCACACACACACACACACACACACACACACACACACAATTGTAGTTATGTGAAGTGATGTATATATTAACTTCTTTTGGTAATTAATCATTAGCAGTACATACACAAATCAAATTATCATGGTATATACCTTAAACTAATTGACAATGTTATATGTCAATTATTTCTCAGTAAAGCAGGGGGAGGGAAAGATAATTCTAGCTGACACATAGAATGTGGATTCTAGGGAAAGAGTAAAAACATGGAGAAAGTTAGCAGGCAATTGGGAGAATTGCTGGTATGTTGGACTTGGAAGGTTGTTGTGGAAGAGATGAGAAATGATATTAAGAATCAATTCAGAAGGTAAAGTTGCTATGTTCCTTCCTATGACAACAGGGCTCAAATTTGGAGGTTTGATGATTTATTCTTAAAAGAGATAGTGTTCGCTTTTCTAAGTTCATTTTAAATGTCACTATAAATAATGACATTTTTAAATAACATAAAAAGCTTGGTTTCTTTCAAATGTTTACTATTCCTGTTGCCAAGAGAAGATATCTTAATGAAATTCTCTATCATTTTTTCCTTTTAAAGTTTCTGACTGGAATCCTATAGTTGAGACAGTGAAGAAGCAGAAAATTCTTTGTGTAACATTTATCAAGGCACATGTGCAGGAAAGGCCCTTTATATTTAAAATTAGAGGCTCGTTGCAGGAAGATTCCTGCAAGAATAGGGCTTCCTGCAGCCGGAGCAAAGCAGAGAAGGGAGCAAAACCCCCCGAGGTGAGCTTTGCTCCCACCTCCGCTTCCCCGCTTGCTTCCCTCCTGCCTCCGCTGCCCCACTTGCTTCCCTCCCGCCTTCCGCACCCTGCTTGCTTCCCTCCCACCTCTTTCGCCCCGCTTGCTTCTCCACAGCTTCGCTCCCTTCTGCAGCACTTGGCTTCCTTCTACTTCGTCTTCAGTCTTCGCTCCATGCCTGCATATGCAAATTAACCACCATCTTTGTTGGGTTAATTTGCATACTCATCTGATTGGCTGGTGGGTGTAGCGGGATGACACCAATTTGCATGTTTCTCTTTTATTAGTGTAGATGTTTGACAGAGTATTTTTTTCATGTGTTTATGCAAGAAAATGAAGTAAACTGAAGTCACAGAATTTAGTAAATAAACACATAAAATCTAAATAACTAAGAATACTTTGAAGGATATCATCATAGAACCTCCCACCAGTACTCTGCTTTGTGTCTTTCCTGCTTTTCTGTTAACTCCTCCTTTAGACACTGTTTCATCCAAGCCAGCTGTGATGCTGTGAAAAGTGACCACACAGTTGTGTACTGAGAAATGAGCTCTGATGGTCCTAGCTCCACAAGAGATGGCTACGTGATACCGAGCACACCATTTAGCTCTCTAAGAATTGGTTTTCTAATCATTAAAGTGAAGATACTGTACTAGAGAATTCTAAAATTCCTTCCAGTTGCAAGATTTTTAAGACTGTCTTCTCTGATTTTTACACATGCTTTAATTGCCATTATTGTAGTTATAATTACTAAATCTACATCTCAAGTGTAAGCCTATCATGAGGTCCATTCTCATATAGCAAATGGCCTCCTAAACATCTCTACCTGGATATTGCATAGGCACCTCAAATACACTGTGTCCAACATGAGTCATTAACTTTCCTCAGTAACTTACTTCTTTTTATGTATATTTTTTTCCTATTGTCTATAGATTGCTCTCTTTTTTACTGAGTTTTGTACCATACCTTTCTTGCAAGTAGCCATCTACTTATCTACTTATCTGAGCCTATAAAACTCAGCTCAAAAGTCACCTTCTAAGCCTACTTTCCTTCCCAGGTGGAATTTTTTATTATCTTCCATTGTTATTCTGATTAGTCTGGTTTCAGAGGACCCTTATTTCACCTGTTTATTTTTTTTCCACCTGTTTATTTATGAGTTTGCATTTTTAACTCCTTGAAGATAGGGATAGTTTCTTGCTTCTTTGTGATTCTACCCTAGCTTAGAATGCATCACATAGTAGGTGACTAACAAATATTGAATCAATGAATGAAAATGAAAATTCTATTATCTGAAGATTGCTCATGTCTGTCTTATCCAGCATATATCCTCCTACCAACAGTCTCTTCAAGACATGGAGAAGTCATTAGCTCTCTTACCCAGATTCACCTGCTCACCTGCTTAAGAAGACTAATAAATTCTGAACTTCATTTGTTTGCACACATTCTTCTACTGTGGGAATTGGTGTCCTTTTCATGTGCAATCTGTCTTGCAGAATGCAGAGACTACATTTTCTCTTTCTTTCTCATCTTCCATGCAATTGAGAATAAAATAATGACCGCTAGCCAGTTTTTAATAGATGTGCATTCCTTCAACCCCATATTTGACTCAGTGCCCTCTTGGTAAACGTCTAAAATTTTCTTCCTCACAGACATTTATATATAAACCAGTCTCCTCATGAGTAATTAACAAATGTACTTCAGCTCCACAAAATGTTAATGAAGTTTAGTACTCCTGATACTTAGCTCTCATTCAGTAAGTATATTTGGGCAAATAAATTGACATATTTGAGAGGCTGAATTGTTCTCAGGAGTATCTTAAAATACCTCCTACTCCCTGGTCAGGCTGGAGAAAATGAACCAAGGTGATTTATGTTGGCAGGGTCAAGAAATCATGTGTGATGTGTAAAAATGGTAGAATCAGCTTTTCTTCCCATTGTGTTTTTTTTTTTAAATATATTTTATTGATTTTTTACAGAGAGGAAGGGAGAGAGATAGAGAGTTAGAAACATCGATGAGAGAGAAACATTGATCAGCTGCCTCCTGCACATCTCCTACTGGGGATGTGCCCGCAACCCAGGTACATGCCCTTGACCGGAATCGAACCCGGGACCCCTCAGTCCACAGGCCGACGCTCTATCCACTGAGCCAAACCAGTTTCGGTGTGTGTGTTTTTTTTTTCAACTTGCTGGTGCTAGAGTAATTAAAATGAAAGTCACAGACAAAGTGGAGAGAAGTTTGCCTTAGAAGACAATTTTCTTTCTCGTAGGCCCATTGCTATCACATATCCTTTATGGCTTCTTGAGATAATTTTCTCAAATCGGCCCTTTACCTTTTTTTCTTGAGTGGTTACTACTTTGTCACTCCCACAGTTATTTTCTTCCCTCTCTATTCGTCCTGGAATTTCTTGATAGAGTCAGGAATTGATAGAAACAGTTAACTGATCTTTGAAAAGATCACTGATATTATAGAGGAGCTCATTAGTAGGATTGAATATGATAGAACCAAATAAATATTTAATACTGATAATAATTAGTATTGCTCTTTGAGTGCTTTATTAAGTGTCAGTTATAACTACATAATAATCAATAGAGTCAATTCTCAAAACAACCCTGTAATTTAAGGACCACAAACCAGCCTTTTACAGATGAGGAAGAGAAGGATTGGAGAGGTTAAGTAGATTATCTGGGGTCACAGGCAGTAGATGACTGAGTTAAAATCTGAACTCCTGTCAGCACATTTCCCATCTCAGCAGTGCCTATAAGTAAATGTGACTGCAGTTGTTCATGCCTTGAGGAGAGATGCTCGAGACAAATGCTGACCTGTTCCGTGGGGATGCAGCCCCTGTTCCTGTTGTCACTGAGTTGGGAGAAGATTCAGATGGCTGAGATGTTGAAACCATGCATGTAATGAATTGAACAGAAGAATGATTGACTCACACGGATGTTTCTTTGCCTTCTAGGAAGATTTCCAACCCGCAGAAGCCTCGGAGACCAACTGGGAGTCGGTCACAAGCTCTATCTCAGTAAGTAATTTATTTTTCTGTTGCCAGTGAAAAAAACTGATGGAGTCAACCCGGAGTGACGTCAGCGGTCTTAAGGGCCTATGACTTGACCACAAGCCAGATCTCAAGCATGGTGTGCTCTTCTCTTTCATGTAGGTTACAGTGGCGCTGCCAGATGCCCTTCTCCCCTCTCTCAGACAGTTTTCAGGAAATGCCAGTGCTCATTATGGGAGCACGGGATGGACAATGGCTTAAGTATTTATCAGTTTCAAAGCAGAACATTCCAACCAAAGGACTGTGCAGATACATCAAACATATCAAACTGGTCCACGGCCCACGCTCCAGTGGGGAATTTTGAAATCGTTTTTTGACTATTCTGGGGAAGCTCTTAACCTTTGCATTGTCAAAGATCTTTTCAGACGTGAAAAAATTCCAATGTTTACCGTGAGATAACTTAAGTGCAAACCAGGCATGTGTTCTATTTGACTTGGAAATAAAACATCACTCATACTAGAACCGTAAAATGGTTCATGCCCCAATTTTTTTCTCCAAATTTAGTCATTTCTCAGTATTCTGTCTTCTTATCTACTCTGCACAGAAAGAACAGACCTTGTTTTCACCAAGTCTATGGGTAGCACTTATGTAGCAATAAAATACAAGATAACAAATGCAACTGCTCCCTGAAAGGTCAGGAGATTGGAGAAAGCTTGCTCATGGTTCTAAAGTGGGTCGGTGTGGCTGAGTCACTGGAGTTGATCCCCCCCTCCCCAAAGTGATATGCTATCTTTTGTTCTTTGGGAAAATTTTTAAAATTGCCTCAGATGGCAGGATTTCCTCAGCTCTGGATTCTGGGAGGATTTGATTCGCCTGGCATGGCTGCTGGACTAGAACAACGGAGCCAGAGATCAGTGAGGTCTCTGAGAGTGATATTAGAGTGTTTTATTTGTTTGGCTTTGACAGCCCAAAATGCATGCTCTGAACCCAGCTAAGTAAGCAATCATTGTCAGGCAGGTGAAGATGAAAATAAGGCAGGTAAGACTGCAGAGCTGGGGGCTAGGCAGGAAGCTTGGACAGCTAGCAGCCTGAGACTGACAGTTCAAAGTAGATTCCAGAGGCGGCTTTGCAACCAAGACCTAACATGCTGTTCTGTCAAGACATCCTCCAACTTCTCATTAAAGGACCCAATACTAACTCGGGATAATCCCAGTCCTCTTAACGAGAGAGATCATGCCGTCCATTCGGAGTATCGGTGGAACCTCAGCCCTGAGTCCACATCGACCGCGAAGTCTTCAGGTTGGGTCCAAATCCAGGTTCTGATTAGTCCTCCAGGAAGACCAAATAGACGTGGCTTCTTCCACCAGCATTCTGGTTTTCAAGAACTTCTGGATTACAAGCAGGGCCTCTGAACCTACCAGTAACTTCTGTACAAACCATACTTTGTTTTTGGTGAAAGTGGTTAACAAAAGTGACTAACAATTCTCAGAGCATTTTTTTACAAATTATCATTTTAAGGTAATTCAGTTAGGTTTAGAATTTGCTTTTGTAAACATATAACAAAAGCTGAATGAGATCAAAACGTGCAGTTGAAGGAGGCACATCCAAATAGTTATTTCTCTCAAAAATAGGTTTTAAATAATTACCTAACAAAAATGTTCTCATGGGTTTCTTAGGTCATGTAGTCATTCATAAACATTTTCTTTACCATCATCCGTGTTTCTGTCCATTGTCCCAAGACAACACTTGAAAAAGGCACTAAAGATCACACATAAGGGTGATGTCACATTTTATCTGTGGGTTGGGTTTGCTCTTAAGACTAACGTTAAAAGAAATTATTCATTCCCTTCTCCTCCTGGGACTGAGCCCCCCCCCTCCCCCCCCCAACACACGCGCGCGCACACACACACACAGCTTTTTCTTTTTTTTTCTTTTTTTTAATATATTTTTTATGATTAAGATATTACATATGTGTCCTTATACCCTCGTTACCCCCTACCCCCCCCCCCCGCTCATGCCCTCACCCCCCCGTTGTCTGTGTCCATTGGTTAGACCTATATGCTTGCATGTAAGTCCTTTGGTTGATCTTTCCCCCTCACCCCCACCCTCCCCTACCTTCCCTCCAAGGCCCGACAGTCCAATCAATGCCTCTCCGTCTCTGGATCAGTCCTTGTTCATCAGTTTATGTTGTTCATTATATTCCACAAATGAGTGAGATCATGTGGTATTTATCCTTCTCTGACTGGCTTATTTCACTTAGCATAATGCTCTCTAGTTCCATCCATGCTGTGGCAAATGGTAAGAGTTCCTTTTTCTTCTTCCTCTTCTTAAAGAATACATTTCAGCATTTCATATAATGCTGGTTTGGTGGTGATGAACTCCTTTAGCTTTTTCTTATCTGTGAAGCTCTTTATCTGACCTTCAATTCTGAATGATAGCTTTGCTGGATAAAGTAATCTTGGTTGTAGGTTCTTGCTATTCATCACTTTGAATATTTCTTGCCACTCTCTTCTGGCCTGCATGGTTTCTGTTGAGAAATCAGCTGACAGTCGTATGGGTACTCCCTTGTAGGTAACTGACTTTTTTTCTCTTGCTGCTTTTAAGATTCTCTCTTTGTCTTTTGCTCTTGGCATTTTAATTATGATGTGTCTTGGTGTGGTCCTCTTTGGATTCCTTTTGTTTGGGGTTCTCTGTGCTTCCTGGACTTGGAAGTCTATTTCTTTCACCAGGTGGGGGAAGTTTTCTGTCATTATTTCTTCAAATAGGTTTTCAATATCTTGCCCTCTCTCTTCTTCTGGTACCCCTATAATTCTGATGTTGGTACGCTTGAAGTTGTCCCAGAGGCTCCTTACACTATCTTTGTATTTTTGGATTCTTTTTTCATTTTGCTTTTCCAGTTGGGTGTTTTTTGCTTCTTCGTATTTCAAATCTTTGACTTGATTATTACGATCCTCTGGTCTGCTGTTGGAGTCTGTATAATATTCTTTATTTCAGTCAGTGTATGCTTAATTTCTAGTTGGTCCTTTATCACAACATCGAGGGTCTCACTAGATTTCTTGAGGATCTCACTACATTTATTGGCGGTTTCCATAAAATTCTTGAAAAATCTTAGAAACGTGTTTTGGACTCTATATCCAGTCGTTTGCTGTCC